CTATAAAATACAGCCAAGCCAGTACCAAGAATATATGCAATCAAACCAGGAGGAAGAGCATTTAAAACCAGTAAAGGATATGTGTATTCTGAAAGCATACACTTGGGCTCAGTTATACCTCGTGGCAAAGAGTTCCACAACTTCGCCTTATTCAGGAGAGATATTCACCCTCATATATATAATATAGAAAAGATACATTCACAGTATATTAAACAGGAATTCATAATCACTCAGAAGGATGAATTATTATGCTTTGGGATCACTTCTGATTAAAGAAACCAGGAGACATTACTTCCTGACAGTTTATTTTGGAGCCTCAGGGATGCCTGGGAATTTTGCTTGCTGCTCTTCAGAAATATTGTTATTCTCAGAGATTAACTCCTGGAGTGGAAAGTCCATTATTCTGACCCAGATGGCTGTTACCATACCTTTTTCATACATTTCTAGATTACTCCTGGTAGACAAAATTTAAAAAGGGTAGCAACTGCTACCTGGGAAGAGAGATTTGGGTTGGCATTGATACACGTGGATATTTATGGAATACATATATTTTATGAAAACACATACTTGCATTAAGAGAACTTTTGACCTGGAATTGGTTATCCCCTAGCACAGCTGGAGGTGTTCACCTGTACTTGCAGTTCACATTACAGGCTGCTGCCAACACATGTACATCCAGCTATAATTTGCTCAGAACCTGAAAAAATGCTCAGTAAATTTCTTCTGCAAAAGTCACACTCAAATACTGTGCTTCTATCATTTGGAGGCTGTGAGTTGATATACGGAGGTTTTACAGGGAACCACAGGGGAGTCACAAGGAAATCCCAGCAAGAAAGAGACCTCTTCAGAAGGTCCACTTCTGTTCTCTGCTCATAGAGCCTTTATAATGTGTCTCACAGGTTTTCACAAAATGGCCAAACCTCCAAATGAAATTATGTAAAGATTACCAGTTCCCAATTTTGATTTTCTTAGGATGCCTGGCAGAGGAATGGCAGCAGTTTCTTCAAGCTTTTCCAAGTTAGCCCTGAGGGGCTTGTTTACTAGCTCTCTATGGCTCTGATTAAAATAAATTACAAATAAGTGCCATGAATTCAAACAACGCATGAGAGAACCCTAAATACTGGTTAAAAAAATTAAATGTTCTGGAAAATATTATAATGGCATATTCATGCAAAACCACACAGCAATTTGGAAGGCAGCATGGATATACTCATTCCATATTTAATGAAGTTTTGAAAGTAATGGTATGATTTTCTGGCTGTAATGTGGGATACAGGGGGCTGGCTGTTAGCCCGTGAAGAGTCATACTGAGACAGATATTCTTTTCCTAGGATAAGACTCATGCTGAAATTTATTTTTAAGATGACATTAAATGAAGGTGGAAGTACAGAATGAGCACAGATATATAAATATATTCAATGAATTTGCTCTGTTTTGAAAATTGCAGAAGAGGGAGAAATATTTAATAAACAAGGTGGCTTTTGGAAGTCAGCATCTTATAAAATGACATACATAGTTTCATACATAGGAATTTTCTTCCTTCCCAAATAAAGCTAAGGCAAGTGTTATAATGATTAACAGCAAATCACTAGAGCTCTTTTTCTTCATTGTTTTAATCCTAATCTACAACGGTCATTTTGTCATTTTATAGACATGAAAACAGTGAGGCAAAATCCCATTAGATCTGGCAACTTTTATATTTGCTTTCCATTTATGAGTACAGTAAAAGGTATCTTAATCATTAAGCTAGAAAATACAACAGAACTGTCCTGCACTGTGAGCTTAAATGTCACAGGCAGATGGAAGTGAGAGATATTTGAGGTGAACAACTAAGAATTCAAATCACTGCAGACAGCAAATCCTCCAGTGTCAGAGCTAAGAAGAAAAAGCTTGAATAGTGAGTCATCCCCACTGTTATCCTGATCCTACAAGAAAAAAGACTGTATGAGCCTAACTCTCTGAAAATCCAAAACAGCAAGAGTGTGCTTTAGCCATGAAAACAGATGAGGAACCAGTAATTTGTCATATGGTTGTTTCAAATTTCTCCTTTAGAGAAAATGAATAGCCAATACATACGTCATGAAGTGCGGGGATGTGAAACTAGTGACCTGAGGAACTTCTGGGAAAAGGCTATTGAACAACAAACTCGGTATCTGCAAATTGAAAAAGAACGTCAGCGAAGAAGTGCTCTGACAAAGTGGGTAGCTTGCATCCGGAAAGGTTATTTGAGTTTGCATTGTAATTCCTTTTTAAAGAAAAGTGATACCTATATTTAAGTCATGCAATGAAAGCTGAAGGTATTTTTCTCAGATTTTTAGAAAATTATAAAGCTTCCCAGACTGGCATGCTAATGCTAATGTGTCTAAGCTATGGCTCCACAAGATAAGAGAATAATTCACTCTTGTTCCATAAGTGGGTCCAAAGTGCGGAACTTTCTGAAGTTATCAGGACAACATCTAGCATTTCAGGCTTGTCTTGAACATCAAGGCTTATGTTCACAGCAGAGCTAGCACAGATGCATACCTGACCCACCTTCTTTCTCTGTGGCCTTGTTTTCACAAGAATATAGTTTGAATTAATCAAGATGGCTTAATTTGCATAAGATAAATCCATAATAAAGCAGACAGTCCAAGTGTACTAACTGACCAAGACAACCATCACCCATATCCTTATTTACCTCCATCAGCAATACTAACCTTAATGAGCCACAATGAGAAAGACTGGTCTGTGGCAACATCAGTACAGTTTTACTTCATATGAAGTCTCCATAAATTGAAGGCACATGCAAGATGGCTATTTTGCCTTGAGATCATTCAACAAGAAAGTATTTTTCCAAAATCTCTCTCATACCTCTCTTTGTATTGATGCTTGAAAAAATAAAAGCAAGCATGGCCTTGCATTAATAACCCTGGGTGAAGGAACACTGGAATTATTCTCTAGCATGTTTTATCCATTTGTAACTAAGCTACTTTCAACATCCCAGCTCCTCAGCTGTGAAATTCCTGTCTTTTCTATTTGAGGCAGTCTTTCTGTTGTACCTAGATACTACCAAAAAGAAAGTAAAGTGCCACCTATCACCTAAAGCTCTCTGCTATGGGTCTAACAGAAGTTTCAACATGCACAGTGTTTTCAAGCCAAATAGTGCTCAAGAGCCTCTATGCAGTACTTTTTAAAATGCATTTCTGAGGAGGAGGGGGACTTGGGAAATGTTGGGTGATGCTACCCAGCAGGTGGCAGCAGGCAATCTCCAGTGGAGATGACAAGTCACTCTGGCACACAGAGGCTCTTGACAGAGGGCACACTGGAGGTGAAGAACCACAAAGCTCAGGTGAGCCATCATCGGGATTTAAGAGCTAGTCCTGAAGTGCCATCCAGGAAAGCACTCCAAAGGGGCAGGACAATTTGCATGGCATCTGGGAGAAAGCATCAAAGGATAGCACTGTTGGGAAACATGAAGAGTATAAATCTGTTCCCTGTAAAAATATGGGGACAAGCTGATCCGTGTTTCTGTCCATAGGCTCAGAAATGAATGGATGGAGAGACTGGAAAAACGGATAAAGATGTTGAGAACCCAACCCGAAGACCCATCTAGCTGAAGATACCACACTCATTACATGTTTGGGGAAAAAAGAAAATTGTTTCATAGGAAAGCATGATGGTGTGATGTAAAAGCTTAAGTCAATTTTACTTTGTGGCTTAAATGAGCTATAATTAATTAGCTGTGATTGTTAGAAGTTTCATATGTGAAAAGTCTATTGCTGCTTTTAAGGTTATGCATCCACCGCTTCATTTGATAAACAGAGATTGAAGTCCTCTGAAGTCTTCAAGACTAATAAATCATGGTTCACTGAGCTGTAGATGCCTGGAAAAAGAGTTTAGTTACACCGTTAGTGCTCAGCAAAGTATTTCCTCAATATTTTAGGTTTCTGTATAGACTGATTGTAATCCAATGAAGTTATTTTCTTTCAAAATTGTTTAATGAATAGTTGAGATTTTTTTTTAACACAGCGGAGCCCAACTCAGGCTAAGGAAGAGGGGATATGCACAAACAATGCCACCACATCCCAGATCACTAGTGGAGCCAGACTTCATGGGAGTTACAGATCCCCCCTGCCATATTAAAAGTCTGTTAAGCTATTAATATGTATCCTGAGAAATAGGCTCTGTGAGACACCAACAAGAGTTTCTTAATTAGTTAACCCACATTAGCTAACTTGAGACACTATATCAGCAAGGACAAAGTGACTTGGAGTTTTGAGGCTGCTTCTGGTATCCAACCTGGCTTGTCTGGAGCTGGACTGATATTTCTGTTTCATAGAGCATCTTGATGCATTTTCACAGCTGTCTCTCATCATGAGTAACAAGCACACTTTTTTCCTCTAACACTTTTTCCCTCTGAGACCCAGAATATAATCCTTAACAACGAGTACCTTCAGAAACATGGCAGGTTTCCTCTCCCATGTTCACCATTAGTAAAAAATGTTTCTAGTTCCTCTCCTAATGCTTCATTAGGAAATGTGGCATTTCCTCCAACAGTATCAAAGCATTTCAATAGGCTGGTGTAATAAAATTGCTTCCTTTTTAGGGTGACTGCTTTGTTGTCACCAGAATGCCTGGGGTAATGTACTGCAAAATGCGTTGCTTTCAGCATGCTAAAAATCTCTTCCCTCAATTGCTTAACCTTTTAGTCCCTTTTTATAAGACCGTTTCACTACTTCTTGGGTAATTAGTATTGTTTCAGAGTAAAGAAGATTTGAATTGCCCGTGGAGTGAGAACAGCAGAAGGGTTTGAGGTTCTAAAATATTTAGAATATCTGTTCTTTTTAAAGCAAGTAAAAAACTCAAAATGCTATTTTTTCTCTCTTTATCCATCACCTTTTAAATTCACTTTTGTGTGTCCCAAGGTCAAACCAAATCTGTTATGGGAATTTAAACATGTAAAAAATGTTTGGGAAGCCTGAGAAATCCAGGAAAGCATGAAAAAAAGATGACCTTGGAACATGTACTCAGAAATCAAGGCATCAGCAGGTATGTCACTGAACTTGAGAGCAGAGTTTGCCTGCCAGCTGAAAAAAACTGCTAAACTCATGTTCTTCAGTTGAGTCTTTTTCTTAAGCAATTTTTAAAGTAACATCAACGGGGAACATGCAGGATAACAGTATAATTACAATATAGCTGTGCTTTAATAAACAATCACCAGGTAGACACACAACTTAATATTGGGTTTTACTAACAATTAGATTTCTTTAAAAATGCCAGTTCACACATTTCAGTTCTCCCATAATCTGTCTGTTCCTTGTGCTTACTGAAGCTCTACGTGAACTCCATCATGAAACAGCATTGATTTTTATACCATTTTGAATGAAAGTAGAGCTTTAACTGAGCCAAGGGAAACGTTTTGCATCCCCTCATTCATTGTGTAAGTGACTGCACAAGGTGCAAAACAGAGGAAATCAGAGTTGGAATATTTTAAAAATGAAAAAAGTACCCATGGAATAAGTTTTTCTTTGCATCTCACATAGTTGAGAACCTTCTTCTCCTCTTCTTATAAAGTAAGTCAGAATGAGGAAAATCCATGGAGAGCCAGGAAAAGACGTGCCAGGAAGTCACTCCCATCTGAGTCCCTCATTGCAAGTCTCGTATGGTTATGTCACTTAAGAATGCTTTGGAATAGATCCCTATCAAGCTAGGACACTCCAAAATCATCTCTTTAAAATGATAAAAAGGAACTTATTTTTTACAGACTGCATCTATTACAGCCCAAGGCCAAGAGGAGTTCTGAAAACATATTTCCAGAATTAAGCCACTTTTCTTCTGAGCTTTGCAATTTCACCTTTAGTGTCTAGATGAATTATTTCAGGCTCAGGTTCCACAGCATTAGATTCAGGACTTTGGGCTATGTAATCTTTATTTATCTAAGTGCTAGCAACAAGTTTTGATACAAACGTCAGCACTTTTGCAGGGGTAATCTACATAGGAGTTTTGTAAATTACCACCAAAAAAAGAATACTTATCCAAAGACATAAATATAATCTAGAGTCAATAAGCAAAAAATAAAGAAGCGTGATAGCATTAAAATTCAAATCTAAATGTCAAGAAACAATCTTAATCAGAAGCTGGAGCAGACTCCAAGGTTAAAATTGTTCCGACAATTTGAAAACACAAAAATATAAATCTTTAATTTACCTTGAAGGTCATAAGACAAATTAAAAGGAGGCAAAAAAAAAAGTAAACTGCAATTTCTGTAAGACTCAAAAATGAGCCATAATGTTACAAAAAGGAGTAGAGAAACCTGGCTGTAGGACTGGAAAACTCATCAGCTAAAAATTGATAAAATCAGCTTGGTTTTATAAAATCATTATGGTTAGAGAGGATGCTTAAATACTCTTCAGACTATTTTTCACCAATATGCAGTTTCAGAGGAGTGCAGTATTCAGTTAAACACATTAAACTTAATAACTAAAATATTTATAAAACAGCTCCTTGAAGAAACACTTCATTTCTCTTGATTTTTTTCTGTCTATAGTTTCACATTGCTTTTGAGTGTAACAGTAAAAGATTTTGAGTTATGCCAATCTAATTTTATTAGCTTTGTAATTAAAATGTGGTAGATACTTGCTTATCTTCCTAGCTTTCATTATTTTACCATTCATTTTCTTCATCCTGACACTGAGTAGCAAGAAAATTCATGTCCCTTTCTCATTACAAATGCATGGTACAGAACTTTTTAAAAAAGCTTGTAACAGTGACAAAAATCAATTGTCGTAAAGTTTTACCATCCTCTGAAGCAGACACTAAACAAGCCGGACCCAAGTCCTTTTAAATAGTATTTATGGGAAGTACGCTGTGTTTAGCACAAGAGTGACAGATACTCCATTTTAGCCGTATTAATGGTCCTTCTAGCACATGGATAAGGGCTGACAGCTGTGAAGAATGATTCTGTCAGTAACAGACTTCTTAACACACTTCTTAGCAGTTTAGTCCAAACTGAGACAGCTTAAATAGAGTTCTTTGCTCAGTAGTCCTTCCTGACCAATGTCCTTCCCTAACCAAGGAGCTCCTCTTTGGAGCTCTCTAATTAAGGAGCAAATAAGCATAACTCAGTCACTGCACACAGGTTTTGAATTTGAACAACTGATGCAAGTCAGGCGAAAGGCAAGATGTCTTTCTGGTAAGATGGTAGAGACAAATCAGGGAAATGGTTCAGCCAGGCCCGTCTGAAGCTCCCTAGCCCTGCCACAGCAGAGTTTCTGCAGTGAAGCCTGTCCTGCATCCCAGTGTGGGATTGCCCAGCAGGCTGTCTTCAGCGTGACACCCAAAAGTCATGTGTTCCCTACTGTGCAACCACTTCATGTCCGAGTAGCTATGCTTCTTTGGGCTTCTGGCCACATTCACTGAAGAGGAGACTGATTTATTGGCCAATTCTGAGGTGCTTGAAGTTGTCAGCACTGAAATAAATCCACCATACAATAGCAAGTTCATCTACCATATTCTGTGTTTAGTGTAGCATTAAGTACAGATGAGTTAGTTTGCACTATAGAAAAGCCTACAGGCTACCTCTGAGATTTTGATCCCATGATACACAGGCAATGTGAGGGAGAACCCCAGCCACACAGAGCTCACTGTGTAAACAGGACAGAAAGTGGAGGAGGAGTGGAAAGATGGGCCAGAGCCAGAGGTCAGGGAAGAGCCATGGCACCTGACTTGGGTATGAAGTCGAGGTCCAATGCTCCGCACAGATAATGTGATCCATGTACACAGTAGCCAGTGCTCCAGCTAGAACTGAAATCCATAGACAGTTTCTTCTAATAAACAGGTCTGAAAAATACACACATGAAAGGTGCCATAGCTGTGGCAAAATACACCGCATGTCAAGGCAATCACTACGCATGTAACTGGATTCTCACCATAAAAGTCTGAGGAAAATAAAGAGTCAGATGCCGCTGGGATGCCAGATTCGTTAAGAGAACTGGGAGATCACTGAGTCTGGAGAAGCAGGATCTTTGGAGAGGGAAGTTAAAGAAGATGAAGAAGAGGTAATGTCTTAAACTGAAAGTGTGTTGAAGAGATTCGGCTGAAGACCTAACGTTGATTACAGGTTTTACTGTTTTGAACTCATCCTCTCTCCTTTCCATGTTACACGTGGATCCTCTCCCAGACATCACTGCTGGTGTTAGCTCAGCCACGTGCACATTAACCACACATGATCTGAAGCAACTGCTCAGTGGAAGTTACATTAGAGATAGATCTGGACCCTAACTCATGGTGTTGTATGAGCCTTTCTATACTCAGATAAGACATCTCCCCATACAGCCACCCTCTTCTTGCATAAAGAAAACTCAGTTTGTGTCAAACTGACTGACATCCTACAAGCAAGACTGGTAAGAGAGTCCTGCAGTTCCAAGGTTGATGAGGAATGTTCATATCCATTACAAAGTATGTCAAAATATAGATAGCTTTTTGAATGGATTACAAATTTACAGGTCTGAATTTTTCCCCCTTAGGATGAGAATCCCATTCTGAGAGTGGCCTGTGGGTCAGGGAAATCTCCAATATCAATACAGACTGGGGGATGAATTGCACTCCACTCCTGTGGAGAAGGACTTGGGGATACTGGGGGATGGAAAATTAGACATGAGCCAGCAATGTGTGCTCGCAGTCCATAAAGCCAATAGTATCCTGGGTTCCATAAAAAGAAGTATGTCCAGCAGGTCGAGCGACATGATTGTCCCCCTCTACTCCACTCTCATGAAATCCCACCTGAAGTCTGGCATCCAGATCTGGGGTCCCCAGTACAGAAAGACATAGACCTATTAGAGTGGGTCCAGAGGAGGGCCACAAAAATGGTCAGAAGGCTGGAACACCTCTCCTGTGGAGACAGGCCAAGAGATCTGGGGTTGTTCAGCCTGGAGAAGAGAAGGCTCTGTGGAGAACTTATTGCAGCTTTTCAATATACAAAGGGGTCTTATGAGAAAGATGGAGGGAGACTTTCTACCAGGGCCTGTAGTGACAGGACAAGGGGTAACAGTTTTAAACTGAAAGAGAGTAGATTTAGATTGGACATGAGGAAGAAATTTTTTACTATGAAAATTTTTTACTATGAGGGTGATGAGACACTGGAACAGGTTTTCCAGAGAAGTTGTGGATGCCCCATCATTGAAAGTGTTCAAGGTCAGGTTGGATGTGACTTTGAGCAACCTGATCTGATGAAAGATGTCCCTGCCTGTGGCAAGAGCATTGGACTAGGTGATCTTTAAAGGTCCCTTCCAACTCAGACCATTCTACAATTCTATGATTCTGTGATTTTCTGATTCTATAGTTACAGCAAGGACAGAACAGTGCCTGAAGTAAGAAGGGAAAATCAAACCAGAGTGCCCAAAGACATGTTCTGTCTGAGAGCCTCCAGAGAAGACAGCTATGATACACCTAGCTCACAGCCCTTTAGGCTGATGCCTTACATTTGCAGGGCACTTCTCTGTTGGCAACCTACTGTCTGTAGCTGCTCGTAGCCATTTGGAGAGTTAGCCTGGTACAGGAACAGTTTATAAAGTGCTGTCACAGGATACCCTACTTACATCTCTTAACTTACTCTTCTACCAATGCAATCTACTTTTTGCTAATGAGTAAGTGTGATATCCTCAACCTATCCTACACTTCCACAATTCATCTTCCTTTTAGGATACATATGACTAATGCAAGCACCCCCACAGCATTCCTCACAAAGAAAAAAATCCTTCAGCCCTTCATCCTCCTCTGCAACCATTTTCTTATTAGTGTGCATAGTGTGCAAGCCCTTGGTTGAAGCTGCTTTAAAAGCACTGAACCTTTCCCAGAGTGTTGTTTTTATTCCCAACTCACTCTTTGCACATATTTCTTTTTGTAATCTCACCATTCTTCTGTCCCAGCAGATTCGATGCAATAGCCCTAGTGTCAGAGGTCACTGGCAAAGTTTACTCTGAGATTTGAGTGCTTTGTATTTGTGACCTTTTGCCCCTTCTCTGCTTTGGGAAGCAGAAAGAACAAATCCA